GATATGATTTCTCAGGCTGCCTTTTTGACCTCACTCGCAACACAAACATCAAGTAAAAGCCCTGGCTACAAACACGAATCCCAGGACTGCATCTTCTAATAAACAGAAGAGCGCACAGACACATGCCGCTAACCCCGAACATGCATCTCTGGTCGTGCAGGGCTCCAGAGGCAAGAACTCAACAACTAGACGCGTGTGGCGTCTAAAAATACCTCAAACTGGATGTGAACATGCGGCTGGGTCGAGAGCTTGGGCCAAGGAGCTCCACTGCAGAAAAAAACACATCTCTTCGGCCTAGCATACACATAACACATTATAGACTTCTATAATTCAATTTAGGCTGCATAGTTTAGATCAGCCGGAACTGGGAACAATCCCCACAAATCCTGATGTACTTGTTAGATCATAAGAAGGCTGGCATCTATGCTAATATTAGTATCTCTGTTTATCCGAGGTTTACCGCAGTCCACCGGATCCACATCTGATGCAGGACCTGCGCCTACACACGATGACAACTAGGGCTGGGTATTGAAACAAATTTCACAATTCGATTCACAAGCTTGCAATTCAATTCGATGCAATATTGATTATTTTGGATATTAGGTACAATACACGGCAAATTTTCTCAAGGAAAATAAATGCTGTAAACTATGGGAGTCAGTTGTAGCCTACTAGGCTTCATTAGCCTATAATATTGGTAATTATACTGATTTGTATACAAACACTTAACTTACACTTTTATTTTATAATAATAAAGTTATATGATAAACATTTAAATGGTGGCTGTCATAAAAACTTGGCAGATTTATTCAAACATGCATTAAATATTGAATATGTCATATGGTGCATATATTTAACAAATGCTCCTCTTTAGAGTTAATTTTTCTAGCTGACTAACGAGTTTATGGTCACTGAATATGGTTTTTCTGAGGTAAATGTGACGTTACATGACATTGTTTACAAGTTGTTTTACTGTCGTCTTTCCGCGGTTGAAACACTGATTGAGTGATTCCATGTGACATGATACGGATTTCGATAAGTTGTACTCTATCTTTTAACACACTTTCAGATGCTCAATCATGTTTATTTCGCGCTGTAACTGGTATTATTAAAGGGATACTCCACTTTTTTTGGAAATAGGCTCATTTTACAACTCCCCCAGAGTTAAACTGTTGAGTTTTACCGTTTTTGAATCCATTCAGCCGATCTCAGGTTCTGGCGGTACCACTTTTAGCATAGCTTAGCATACATCATTGAAGTGGACAAGACCACTAGCATTTCTAAAAGAAAAATGACCAAAGAGTTTCGATATTTTTCCTATTTAAAACTTGACTCTTCTGTAGTTACATCGTGCACTAAGACCGACGGAAAATGTAAAGTTGCGATTTTCTAGGCTGATATGGCTAGGAACTATACTCTCATTCCTGCGTAATAATCAAGAAACTTTACAGCCGTACCATGAGAGCAGCAGGCGTAATGATATGACGCAGCGCCTGGAAATAGGCCACCTTCCGTCAACACAACGGAACTATTTCCAGGCGCTGCGTCATATCATTACGCCTGCTGCTCTCATGGTACGGCTGTAAAGTTTCTTGATTATTGAGACACACAAAATGCAGGTGGTACTCCAAGAGAGGTTTGAGAACCACTGACATGGAACATTTTATATTTTATCATACGTTATATACAACAACAACAACAAAAAAATCTAAAACTCGGAAGCTGACCCCACTAACAAACTAGTAAATTATTAACCGACCAGTCAACAATCACTGACCCATCCCTAACAGAGCAGGAGTTAAAGAAAAGAAAAGAGGTTCAGTCATTAACACATCGAGCCACAGGGAGGATTTACAGACACTGTCTGCCAGCAGCGAGACTCAAGGTGTGTGGTCCCACATCCCTGTGTTTATGGAGTTTAGAAAAAGTAAAGATCTCTAAGATTTCCCTGTCAGCTTTATTATTCAGCAAGCACTTCCACGCTAAACGAGGAGATGCATGAAATCTTTTAAAGCTCCAGAAATGCCCACAGTACACACCTTGTTTCCACGTGAGTTGGTTTAACAGGTCCTGCCAGCACTGGAGGCCACAGGGAAGCATTCAATGGGAGAGCCATCTGCTCCACGGATGCCTTCCGTTAAACGATTTTTATAGCCGATGATACATGCACAGTCAAACATAGCATTCATACGGTGGTAGGAAATCCCTTCCGTCAACAGGACCATCAATATCCCTCTTCATGAATATAATAAACACCAGCCATGCCGAGCATCAGATTACTAACTAGACGACTGTTTGGCTCTGCACCCTGGATGGCAGTTCAATAAATGGCTTTGAACTAAATGAAGAAAATGCAGGTGAAACGTAAAGTTGGTGCACATGGCTGGTGTACACCTAGATTTCAATGAAATAAAACCTGTGTGGATTTGGTGACACTCAGACTAATGCTGTCGAAATGGAACGGGGAGCAGATGGAGGCGGATGAGACCCACGAGACCCCCGCGGAGCCTGTGCTCATCTCTCGTCTCAGACATTCGTGCAGCATCACACAAATCCAATCAAAAATCAATAACTGGCCGGGTCACAGTGAGTCATGCACAAAATAAAATTGAGGCAAAAAATATCACCTTTTTGCAAGCTATGATTACAATTTGATGAACAATGTGCTTTTAAATCAATAACATGCACTGTATATATAAAAAAAAAGACTGAAAAAATGCTACGGTAAAAACCTGTTTATTGGTAAACAGCAAGTCCCCTTAAAGGGGTACTTCAGGATTTAGCATTAAGCTTTGTATCAGTAGAAAACCAGTAGTATTTTCGAATTACCGTGCTCCCGTCGTCATTTTGCGTCATCGGAGGATTTTTGTGCAAGAGCCTAAAGACTACAGCCAGTGTTCAGCATGTTTTCTCCACGCCCATATGGAGCGGGATCTCACTCACAGAATGTAAAGAGTGTCAGCCATCTTTCTGTAGAAGCTAAGCTAACAGGCTCTTGCCTCTTGGTCTGTGTAGAAAGTTTGTATAGTAGGCTGCGCTACACACAGCCTACGACGTAGCTACAGCGGGAGGTTGACGCAGAAGTATAAATTGGGCTTTACTATATACGGTGAAAAACTAGAATAGATCTAATGGGGAAATTTAATTTCATGCAATTTTACAGTCAAATACTGTTACCGTATTTTCCGCACTATAAGGCGCACTTAAAAGCCTTTAATTTTCTCAAAAAACGACAGTGCGCCTTATAATCCGGAGCGCCTTATATATGGATGGTGAACACACGTTCACCAAGACGGGGAGACAGCGCCGGGCGACTTACGCCATAATCTGCCAATGGATCGTGGATGCCTGGGCTGATATATCAGTCTCAACTGTGATCCGAGCTTTCACGAAGGCAGGAATAATCTCTTTATCCAGCCGGCTCACATACCCGTATTTACTTCCTGTTTTCGGCCGAAGTCCACAGTAGTTGATTGTCGAGTTCGCGCGCGATCAAACCTCCTCCGTGTCTTCAACATCTGATTCGGATGAACTATCCATTTGAGCCGATATTCTCAGAACACCACACAGCACCGTCATCGGCTGACAGCTGACAGTCCGAGTCTCCACTGTTGCTTAGTTACCAATGATCGCGCGCACTCGACAATCGCCTACTGTGGACTTCGACCGAAAACAGGAAGAAAATACGGGTATGTGAGTTGGCTGAATAAACATAATTTTTATTCATATCTTTCACATTTACTGCAGTCAGATTCACCGTGTTCACTCACATGGCTGTGCACTTGTAATGACACATTAAGGTTGTTAAGAGGCTAAAAGCAGGTTTAAAACTTGTCCCGTTTAAGTCAACAGGGTGCACATTTTAAAAAGAGGATAACACAGTGTAGGCAACACCGGTTTTTGTCGTTGTTATCTGTACTGACAGCACTCCAAATTTACAAAAAATGAGCTCAATGTTAAAATTGACCAGAGTTTTCCTTTAACGTTTGAACAACGTTACCATGGGAGTGAACGGAGTTGTCAGAACGCTTAATAAAGTTTGACTTCATCTGACTGTTTTGTTGACATTTGTTGACATCTAGTGGATGCATAACGCAAACCCAGTCAAACGTTTGACTGCAGTATCTTATGCGCCTTATAATCCGGTGCGCCCTATATATGAAAAATGTTCTAAAATAGGTCATTCATTGAAGGTGCGCCTTATAATCCGGTGCGCCGTATAGTGCGGAAAATACGGTAAATGTACAGTTTTTGGAAGTGAAAAAGAAAAAGTCATTTTTAAAACTCATAAATTGACATTCCCAGTATACTCTGTGACAGCTCTCATTTAATGGCTTTTCAGTGAAATAACTGTTTTCATTTTTTTCTTATCAGTAATGTACATGAAGTTTATAAAAAAGAACAACAAAGCAAAAGTAAACCTATAGTTCTTACACAGCATCGCACAGACATTTTATGAACTAAAAACTAAGTGACTGTTAGTCCAAATCATTTCGATGCCATAGATGCTGTAATTGGACCTTACGCTGAATTTCATTTGGCATATTCTGCTAAACCAAAAGACTTAATGGAAAGGCACAGAGCATCATTGTGTCATGTGGTTAGATTATATATGTAAATACTTGCGTTTGCTAAATAACCAAGAAAATAAACATAGGAAATGACAACAACCACAGAACCAAAACCAGCATAAAAGCCAAGATCTGATCCACCACTAATTCCCGTCATTCAACATTTGGCAACTAGCAGTCCAACTAACAGCCCACATGTCATTTCCTCTGAACAAGCACAGGCAAATCTTGTTTTGGTCAACTGAATCAGTATAATCAGCAGCTGTAAGCCTCAGTTGTCAGAGATTTTATCACATTCTGTGCATGTTTTTACAAATGATAAAGCTGGTAAGCACGAGCTACCTTAATGACAATAACACACCAGGTTGAGCGAATGACAGATAGAAGATAAACATATTAACATATTAAAAATATTCAAACAGGACTTACTCTGATCGCCGCCGACCTTCCATGCCATCTGGTAAGAAGAGCTTGATGGTCGACACTATACAGCCATGAGTGACTAAAAAGAACAAGAGAAAACCAGGTACATAAATTAGTGTTTTATGACAACAGTGGTCGTACAAAAAAAGACATGCAAATGATTATTTTCATAAGAATTTAAAGAAAGGTACAGGTTATCCCAAACATAAATAGGCCATAAAAATGTTTATAACAAGCTCTAATATGAGGTCATCCAAGAAGCATGTATTAAAGTCTATCAGCTTTAAAAATGAGTGTGTTTATGATCAGCAAAAACATCCAGAGAAGATTTCCTGGCGTTCTGATGAGACGAAGCCAACTTGTGCCGCAACAATGCTAAGAATTAAACACACAACACCCAAATGTGACTTAAAACAAGTTTCCAAACTAAACTGGAAGCTAATTTTAATACCTTGCCATTTAAAATACAGCGCTCCTAACAGGTTTTCTCATTCTTATGTACTTTCGTTCTGCTATTAAGTAATGTATGCTTACATTCGTTTTAAAAGGGTAAGTTACTTTGCATTTGTATCTGATTGTGAAAGCGTCCCATTGCATGTACTTAAGTTGCAACACATCCAGAAAAGCAATCAACCAGCACTCTTGGGTTTCAAAATTACATCTCTGCCATTGCAGAATCTTTAAAAAGTGCAGTTTGTAACAGTTGCATTTGTGTCAAAGACTTCAACTTTCAATCGAAGGTGTCCTCTTTTACACTACCAAGAAACAGAGCCCCCAAATTAACACTCTACAAGTCATTTGTAGAAGTGTTATTGACATTATGCCAGAGCTGCCTTGGTCACAGTCTGCCATTGTCTGTGATGCTTGAATATTAATAAAAACAACCATTATAGTAATAAAAAAAAAAATCATTTATATGAAATGTTTTGTTTTTCACAAATTCTGTGTTGTGAATTTTCCAGTAATCAAATGAAGACAAAATATTTAATTGATCTTTTATATGAAATTAAAACTTTTTTGTCAAACAACATGCGGCACAACTGAGCTTTATACTGTTAAAATGACAACATAGAAGGAAAAGTGTGATTATTCCTTAAAAAAAATCTTTTTTGATAATTTATTATTAGTGTTAGTATTATATTATAATTAAAGTGCGATTATTCAGTAAAAAAAATTTTTTTGATCATTTATTATTAGTTAGTATTAATATTAAATTGAGATATCTAAATTCTACTGTACAACAGTAATATATTATCAAGTTTACTTTTATTTTGATGGGTTGTGGTGAAGACATTTGAGTTTCTGTGTTAATGATGTAACGATAGTTTTTCTTAAATGAAACCGTAAAATGCTGATGAATTCAGTGACTCTCAGAGCGGCTCTGGAAATGCATTCATGTTCTCATGTAGTGAGACTGCAGAGGCTGAAAAAAATAGCGAACGTCACGCATGCTTCAGTGTGTGTGTGTGTGTGTGTGTGTGTGGTAAACGAAACCGGGCGTCTTTCGTATTTATAGGATTCGTATTTAAATAGTTTTACTCTCGCACCCAGATGCGTTCTCAGGTACCGAAATTTGGCACAGATTGATTTAATGTACCACTAATGCAAACAGGCTTTCCTCACCTTTCCGGGTATTCTCGGTCACATCCACCCCAAACTGAATGATGTCACCGGAGAGCACCTCGCAGGGAGGGCTCTCCTCCGACCCCCGGCTCAGACGCTGGCTGTTGATGAAGGTGCCATTGCTGCTTTTGGTGTCCTGGAGATAGAACTGTAAACAGAGGAGAGACGGAAAGATTACAGATGCGATCAGATATAGCACTAGACTGAAAGTGTGCAGAACAAATGTGCAAGACGAAAGAGAGCAATAGTTAAAAAAGAGGAAGTGCTCGAGCTAAAGAGGTGAAACCATTTAATGCAATGCACAGAGAGGTCGACAGGTTCATCATTACAATACAGATTATAAACACATTTTTAAGGCAGTAGCAAAACTTAAACTATCATTTAACTAGATAGGTAATAATACACGTATTACCACAGTTAAAAAAAAAAAAAATTGTTTTAGGTAATTGAAATAAAGCTGAAATAAAATAAAATTAAATGGAAAAACACTGAAATTAGTTGAAATAAAAACAGAAATAAGTTGAATTAATTAAAGCTATACAATATATTTAAAAGAGAGTCCTTAAATATTAAAAAGTCAAAAGCACATAACATACAATTATTAAAACTTACATTTAAAATGAAAACTGTAAATATAAAAATAAGAGGTGGTTCAAAATATTAAATGCTATTAAAAAAACTGAAATAAGATTCAGTACTTCAATTACTAAATATAAATGTAAGCTTTAATATTTGTAAGAAAAACTAAAGACAAAAACACATAATAAAATCTAAATAAAAGCTAATTCAAAATATGAATAAATACTAAAATAACATAGAAATTATACTAAAATACCACTGTATCACCCATCTGACAAATGTAATTACTTACTACTCCTGTGATCAAAGTTGACCCAAAGGCAATGAAAAGTATCCTCTATACACATTAGTTACAGATTTGCTTTGGCTGCTTAAAATAACCAATAATAGCTAGGAAATCGTACAACATCCCTGATCGGCTACACGCATACTAAACACAAGCATCGAGGGCACTGGAGACCTGGCTTTATGCCCATAATTTTCACCAGGGTAATTGTTTCATGTACTCTGTTCAACTCCATTCAGAATGAATGCTTCTGAATTTCTTTGCGTTTAGCTGGATGAATAGATTCACTGTCAAGCACGACTACATTAAGAGTGACATTCATTTCCACCCACCGCCAGCATCCCACATCACGTGTCACTATGTGGGCATCACTGTTAACAGGTTCATCAGGTTAAGCCACAGGATGAATGCGGTCTCCTTCAATACAATGAGATCAAGGTTGTGCGAGATTAAGAACTACAAACCTGTCTTTATGAGGACACAGCTCACAAGGAGAACATTTTTACCCTTTAACAAGCATTTAACTTCACATCACGCTACTGACTGGCTGTATGACTGAGCCAGAGTCGAGCGGCATCTCATCCTCCATCATAACGGGAGTGAAATTTGAGATCTGTGTTGTGGATTGGCATGAAGACCGCATGGCATTGGTGATGCGTCTGTGAATAAGCAACCAGCTCATTTAGAGAAAACACAGATTAGCTCTCATGTGCATATAGGACGTTTTTGATTCAGACATGCATTACACTTTATAAATACAAATTAGAGATGCACGATATATCGAAAAAATGATAAAAAGTCCAAGTTTTAGGTAGACCCGGACAGCAGAGAGTAGACTGGACACGTGGCTGTTACATACGCGTGTACACGCACACACACACACACACACACACAGTTAGCCGCCTCTCAGACAGCATGTGATCGTGAATTCAGCTATATGGCCGAATACACACAAAATTATGTCAAAATGCACGTCTTGAGTATTCACGTAAAAACAGTTATATCTTCAGTGGAGTAAACAGTTGAGAAAGAAAGCATGTAACAATATATTGGATCTGTGCAGCTCTTAAAGTGACAGACTAATAAACCTGCTACCATCTGTGTGTTTAATGTTAAAGTGCGTATGTCAGGTTAAATTTGTAATTATGATTAACACAAAATAGTTAGGGGAAATACACGTTTTACAAGTTGTTGTATTGTTTTGTATGATTTTCGATACCTTAAGGCAGAATATAAGATGAAAAAGTTCGTTATTTTCAGTACTCACTTAAAACTGCTCCTCCGCCCAAACGGATCGCTTGACGTCATAAGAGGGAAACGTCTCCCAGGGCGCGGAGAAAGTGAGTTTGTGAGCTGTGTTGATAATTGTATGAGTGATAGAGTGAAAGAATTAGTGATTAGGACATTCATTTATTTAGTTAGCTATTTAAGTTAGGTAGTTAGTTAGGTATACGCAGGCGTATTTTCACGATTGGTGATTTCCTGCGTTTGTGCTGGGTGCAAAAACACCGTTAAAACCGGTCACAGAGTCCACTTTTTCCCAAAAAGCAGGTCTGTGTTGTGTGCCTGGGTCAACTTTGTTCGGACCAAATGCGCTGACTTCAGTGCTGCTTCGGTATCCAAGACTTCGATCATTTGCAGCGCACATTTCTTCCCGTTTTTATGTTTCCACTGTTCGATCGCGCCCGCGTCTCTCTCTCTCCACTTCAGTGCTGCTTCACACACACACACACATTCCAGCATTGCAATCTTGACATCGCAGCCTGTTCATTATAGCCACGGAGCTTCAGAGCTTAGGCGGAGCAACAGATTATGTGTCCCTAAATAACCCTTGATCTAACAGTAGTTCCGCATTAATTAATTTGCACGCGAGTTTTATTTAATTTTATACTCGTGTATATTCATGCACCGAACCATGACGCCCGAACCGTTTCGGTTCAATACGAATACATGTACCGTTCCAGCTCTAAGTTATGCCTATACCTGCCCAACTCTCCACTGGTTCTCTTCACACCAGATATTTATGTTTCTTCGATAGGAATTATTTAAATTTCTGTTTGGCTCCTCATCTGTCTCACGCCTGGGAGGCTCAAAATTGTATGGCTGTGGGCCATCTTAGGTTTGAGGGGGATTTTGGAAAATAATGATCTTGACAGAAATGGCTATAAAGCTTACTGTAGGGCAATTACAGTAATAATTTTAATGATAATTACATTTTCACTCAGACATCTAACCCTTATTTAATATATCTAAAAAAAAAAAAAAAAATTTACCCTGACATACACACTTTAATCACTACAACAAAAGAAAGAGAAAATCACTCACTGCTCTTGACTGAATAACTTTTGTAGCTTTACTAAGAATCAGTGTATATTTAATTCATACAGTGAAAACTAAGCAGTGTTTTATTTTTGCATTGGATTATTCAATTTCTGTTGTTAAATAAACCTAATGTAGGCCTACCTGAAACCCTAAGCCCTCCTGGTGTACACTGACATTAAAATTACACTTGTTATGCAATGCCACAGTAAAACACTGCTGTTCACTTTCAGAAGTCATTGGGATGCTTTCTTCTCACAAAAATTATGAGAAACATGTATGTTGGTTATAGCTTTTTCAGTTTTTAAATATATTTAAATATAATTTACATTACACGCTTAAAGCATAATCATATCGAATATCGCATTATTTAACAAGTTATCACATTTTTTTAAGCCAGGCAACAGCAACGTAATGCATCCAGAAGCAGAATGTGTGAATGCATCAGCTGGATCCCAGTATAGCGGGATGCCATGTACGGTCCTTCAACTTTGCTTAGTGACTTTAAACACCCAGAATTACTAAGTGTACAAGCAAATGAGAAAGAATGGAGAAGCACAAATGACACAGCATATTCCCTCCTATTTCCTCTTGCTAACGGTTGTTCTGGCTGTATTCTGAGGTTATTGTGGTCACTACGCTTACATTTGTTCAGTTTTCTAAAAGGACAAATAATGTTAACAATGCAACAACTGAAAAACTAAATGAGACAAATGAAACATGACAACATCAGATCACCTTTTTTCATGGTTCATATCAGGTTAATATTTTTCAGTAAAGCTGACAGGCAGCCCTGAACAAAAAAAAAAATTATACTTCAATTAGATTGAACAATATCTATTGATACATTAAGGGTTATTTAATGAACATTTAAATACAGGAAATATAAAAACTAGGGCTGTCAGTTAAACGCGTTATTAACGGCGTTAACGCAAACCCATTTTAACGGCGTTAATTTTTTTTATTGTGAGATTAACGGTCTTTTTGGCCTAGCAAACTTTGTAGTTTTTTTCACATGCTTTTGCAACCGTGCGCGGCATGCGCTATGAAACCCATTCATTTCAATGGCTTGCGCCGCGCGAGGACGTTTTGTTGCTTCGTCGACCAAAGCGCAAGCGGATCTAGCTTGACCGGAAACAAAACAACAGGCACGCCGCACACACTTGTTTAGGCTTGCAAGCCGGCCAAATAGTAGGTTAACGTTAAGTTTTGAGTGGATGACGAGCGCGAGACGCCGAAATGGATGCCAATAAGATTCTGAATGGAAAGTTTACTTTTAAAAAGTTGCCAAATGGTTCCATTGACAAGACCAAAGTGATCTGTGTGTTTTGTCGTTGTGAACTGAGCTATCATCATTGCAGCACGTCCAGTCTGAAATACCACTTGTTGGCCAAGCACACACACACACACACACACACACACACACACACACACACACACACACACACAGCTGATGCGAATTCTCCGCCCCCTCGTCAATATCAGGACCTCGTCAGTATTTCTTTCACCCTTTTATTGATGGACAGTGTTACATTGTGTGAGAGATTATTTGCTCCAAGTGAGAATGTTAGTGTGAAATTGTGTATATGCCAATATTGTTTTCAATAAAAAACATTTGCACAAAGCAAGCCGATCCACTTTTCCATGTTGATAAGAGCATTAAAATGAGAAAAAATAATGGGACAAAAAGAAATCAAGAGACATTTAGAATAGATACAAATGTGCGATTAATTGCGATTAATCACGAGTTAACTATGACATTCATGCGATTAATCGCGATTAAATATTTTAATCGTTTGACAGCACTAATAAAAACATTTATGCACTATGCAGGGATTGCCAAAACAAACTGTAAGCCAAACCTCTTTGACATAAAACATTTTATTGACATACACCCTGAGATTTAATTCTTTCCAAATAGAAATTTTCAAGTCATCTGGTGAAACGGTTTTCATATCGCAATA